TTTTGTATCGCACTGAGCTAAAACAATCTAGATAATATTCCAATTTCATTTCCATTTAAATTAAAGTGAATCACATAGAGTGAATCACACTCGATATTCAACCTACTTTCCCAACAAATCGACAAACTTATCTAGCACCTCTCCCATGTCTCATGTCAGCATTGCATAGCATACTTTGTAGCGCGCGGGTTTCATTCCTGCGTCAACGAGTGAGTTTCGTAAAGTGGTAGCCAGGGGGTAGAGGCAGGCAGGCGGAGAGCCCACCAGCCAGCAGCACGCTTTATTGGCATTTCAATAGTTGGCCTTTGACGCTGAAGTGGCAGCCCTTGCCGCCGCCTTCACTTATATATCAAACTCCGTCAGATCGGCCAACCAGGCCGCCGCCCCACATTATGATTTATTTATGTTCTCGTTCATAATGATACAAAGGCGCTTGCGTTATGCAATCTGCATATATATGCATACGTAAGTACGTATTACATCGGCCGGGCCGGTAAGCTGCAGTGCCTTTTGTTTTTGTCATGCTCACGAGCCACGACCACGGTCACGCCCACACGCTCAGGCAGCCTACCTGCCCACCTGCTCACCTGCCCACCTGCCCACCTGCGCTGACAACATCGACGTAATTTATCATCTTTTCGTTTTGGAGCGCACAGGAAGGAAGGAAGCTAACAAGGCTCACACGCACACACCTCCATATCGTTGGCTAAACATTATGATTACATCGATAGACCATATTTATATGCAGGAGAAGATGAAGGGGGAGAAGGAGAAGCAACAGCAGACGACGAAGTAGGAGATGAAGACTCACCTGACATTTGCCCTGAATGCACATATCTAAACTCCCAGAGCGACAGCGCGTTCCATCCTGCACCCGCGCCGACAGCTGAACAATGACGCTCTGCTCATCGTAATGCTCCGATTCCTCGGCATTAGCAGCGCCCGATTCCGGTGAGATGTCCTCCGTGAGATGAGCCGGGTGTCCCCTGATTGGAATTGAGAAAGCATTTAGTTAAAGGACTATTAAAGTTTGATCGATGATTATGATTGGCCTGCTTAGAGATTGGCTTATGGCTTGATTGCTCACATGGAAGCTGACTCAACTCTGATCAAGATTTATCTGTGTTATTACAAATCCCCAAATTTAAAGACAAAACCCAATTAAGTTTCTTTTCTCCTTCTGCTGTTTCACGAAAATACTTCGCACACTTTTTCAAATGGGTTTCTTAGCTCAGCTTTCTTTCCTATTTGCTATTCTATGATTCCCTTAGCCATTTTATTAGCTGTATTCAGCTTTTATCTAACGAGATCCTCTTGGCCAAAACCCATTTGCAACTAAATTGCAGAATTTTGACGCTTAGCAAATGATTTATATAGCCCGCACATGTATGCTATATGTAAATGGCCAAGCGAGGCGTGGCTAAGCGAGTCGCTGCAAAGCGGAATATGAAATCTAACCCAAATGGATTAACCACAAAACCAGCTACCGCAAAAGCCACAGAAAAAAAACACAGCGCCACGACTGCCACTAATTTAAGCCACAAATACAAATGAAGCTATAAAAAAAGAGTAGAGTAGAGGATAGAGAAAAGTGAGGAGGAAATGTGAGAACAAACTAGAATTGCCAGATACCCTGTATATTGGGAATGTTTCAAAAGAATAATGTGAGAGAGGCACAGACAGGAAGAGAGGAAGAGGTAGATAGAGAGAGAGCGAGATAGAGATAGAGAAGAGACAGTAAGAAAGAGAGAGAGACAGAGAGTGACAGACAGAAAGTAAGAAAGAGACAGAGACAAAGAGCGAGGTCTTATATTTGGTTAATCTGAATTTTGGCTAATCTTAAAGATTGTTGAGAGTATGAGAGAAAAAGAGTTTTATTATCAAGAAATATAATTCTGAAATTTCCTTGCTATATCAAAATTATAATATGATAAAAATCTATAAAATCTTGTGTGAAAATTATTTATTAAAAAATAATTATTATTTTTTTAGGCAGGCAGCATTTTATTCGGAACAAAACCTTCAACAGTTTTAATCAAATTCTTCTTCTTCTTCTTCTTTCTAATACACAAGGCCTTCCCCTTGTTGTTGTCACCCAGCAGCAGCTGAATATGGGCAACCGCTGCTGCCGCACTCAACGCAATCTTTGATGAATAATGAGTGGACAGCACTGTACCAGGACCTGGGTCATTTGGCCATTTTGGCCATTTTGGCCACTTTGGCCACTTTGGCCACTTTGGCCCCTAAGCGCATCGCTGTCGACTTTATTTTAGTATGCAACACAGCTCACCTGCATGTGAGGGCACAGGGCTCGACATAATCGTAGTGAGGCGTCCACTTGTATAGGGTGCCGTCGTAGGGAACGTCATTGTAGGCGGCACACTGGTTAGCACGGAAGTCCTGCTGCTCGGGACATGGCTGCATGTTGCAGATGCGATAGCGAGCGCTCTCGCCGCGACAGCTGCCGGTTGTGCTGCAGCGACGTATTTGCTGCATGATGCCGCCATCGCAGGTGCGCGAACATGTTGACCATTCCGACCAGSCGGACCATTGGCCAGAGCCAGAGCCAGAGCCGGAGCTGGAGCCCGATCCTGCGCCCTTTGAACGTTTCTGTTGCTGCAATTGTAGGATAAGGATTTGCGTATTGAGCTTTGCTAATTGAAATGCCAAACGTTTACATATGCTAGTGTATTGGTGTCTGACTGTGTGGGTGTGAGTTTGGGCGTGGGTGAAAGTGTGAGCTAGAGGGGAATTAGCGAATTTTGGTACTCACTTCCAGCTCATTTTCCAAATCGGAAGCTGTGTTCCATGTGTCGTCAAACGCTTGACTTGCATTCAATTTCTTTGCCCAAGCGGCATGTGAAACTAACAGGCAGAAGCTCGTCTGGAATGAAGAAGGAAATTCATAAATGTTAAAGGTCATTTAATAATAATAATTGGTATTGTATGGCAGCATATCTAATTGTTTATTGATTTATTGTGTTAGCAGTTGAGCTGGTTTCATTAATTATTTACAAAGAGACTTCAAATAAGAAACAACAACAAAAGCTTTGTTATGCAACCTAAGCTATTATAGTTGAATTATTTATTGCCCTTAAAAATACAAATTTTTAAATATTAAAGAATTCTTAAAAGATAATCCTTTAAAGTTTTACCTTAGGATATTTAAATTTTACATATACAAAAGAAATCTCAAGTAAGATTAAAACTAAGAGGTTTTAGAAATTAAGGAAAATATTTGCACATAATACCTAGTGAAATATTAAGTCTTTATATACACAACGTGATAAGCACGTAGTCTAGCCTTCATATGAAAAATAGAATAAGTGTGGGGGAGTCTAATCCTAGGACAACAACTTCTATATCCACCTGACTTTCTTGGCATTGGCAAGTGGGAGAGATGACGTTTATATTTGTAGAAGATTTAACCATTTTTGTTTTGTTTTTTTTCGTCAGCAGCATCGCACGCGGCTTTTACGTTAGTCACGTTAACAATTTGCATTTTGGCCGGGGATTTTGGTTTTTATATCGACAGCGCATTAACCTTTAGGACACGCGTCACGTATGCCCCACGGGCATTGAAAACAATCTCGACTGGCGTGTCAAGGGTTATGCCACACGAACGAAGGCGTTTAGAGGGGCGTGGACCAAGTCGTATGTCGTGTATCTGCTGCTGCTGTTGCTACTACTACTTCTTTTCGTGCTGCTGCTTAATGGCGTGTCGTATGCCACGTGCCCACGCCTTTTTTTCTCTGCCAACAACACGTAATCGGGTTTCAACTGGGTTAAGCGTTTTACTAAAATAGACTACCCCATAAGAGCAGACAGTTAGCTAAGTATTTATGTGCTAAATCTCTTTTCCTCTTTAGGCTAAGTGCGGCAGACTTAAGTGAACGACTTTACTTTTTTTTTCTCCTTTTTTCCTGTGAGATTTATTTGCCCTCTTGGCCCACCTCGAAAATTGAACAGAAGATATTAAGATACAATTTTGTAGCACACAATTCCTTGACTACATAAATTTGTTTTAATTGCAGAATTTGTTGAAGACGCTTTGTGTATTGTGTTTTGAGTTCTGCGCCACCTGCGAAATACTCTGGAATAAGTCTTTGTATTTTCAAATAGTTTTTGTAAAACTTTAGCTGAAAGTCTAGAATAAATTTAGTGTATATAGATAAAAAAAAAAAAAAATTTTATATTTTTGATTACATTATTTTGTTATTATTTCATAGGCTCAATTAATTTTTTTGTTTGTTTGTTTATTTATTTTTTTAATAATTCATTAGTTTTTTACACTTACTTTAGTTAATTTTTTATTTATTTCTTTTTATTTTTGAATTCGTTAACTCTTAATAATTAATTGATAAATAAAAAATTTCTTTTAATAGTTTAAATTCATTTCTTTTTTATTAATTGTTTATATACATATATTTTTTTCTTCAATTTGAGCTCAATGCTCAATGTATANTTTACTTTATTATTTTATTTTTATTTTGTTTTCAAATGCATTTTTATTAATTTTGAATAATTTTATATATCTATTCCTAAAATCAACTATCATTTCATTAATTCAATATCAGATTCTCCATAGTTAATATTATTTTCAATTCTTTGATAAGTTTCATTAATTAGCTACAACTACACTTACATTGTATACCATATTAATGTTCGTCTAAATCATTCTGAAATCTGTTTCCAGCAATTAAGCAACTTTCAGCCTTCATAATAACTGTGACTACCCAAACGGGCTTAACAGCTTGCTTAAGCCAAGGCCTAACACACATACACACACACACACACACACACACACACATGGATAGCTACAGCAGCAGCATCTGATGCTGTGATCCTCTTGTTCAGGACATCAAGCAATAAACAGCCGACATATGAAAGGCTAATCTTAAAGGCAAATCAATGGCAAATGGACCACAGCCGCAGCCAAGGCAAAAGCAAATGAACAGCTGCGCACACGTACACACACACATACACACATGGCACGCACACACATGTATAGACTACATAAATAGTGTACTGCATGAAACATGATCCTACTATGCCTAGCTTTATGCACCGTTCCACAACGAATCGTAGCTTAAGACAAAAACCATTTTATAGCAGTTTAGCTGAGAATATGTAAAAACCCAACACGCAGAGAGAGAGAGAGAGAGAGAGAGAGAGAGAGAGAGAGACAGAGACAGAGGGAGATAGCGAGAGAGCCAGAGTCAAGGAGAGAGAGGGAGAGTGAAATGTAGGAACTGACAGCAAGATGAAATGTCTGATAAAGCAAGTGTAGTGCAATAAAGGCTATAAAAGAAACACACACACACACACACATGGACACACATGAGTGTGTTTGCCTTCCACACAGACGACAACTGAAGCAAACTCTTAGCAAAATCGGCGTAAAATCTCATATGTCCATCCATGCGGTTACAAAAGCTACTAAATTACTATTTAAGTATCTATTACCACGTTTCAAGTGTCTGAGGTCCGGCTCCTAGCCAAACTCTGGCCCTGTCGCCTTAATGGAAATGCCCAGCTAACAACCCTGACGACCGACCCTAAAGCAAACATTAGAAAAACAAATAACAAATAACTAAAGAGTGTATGCCCAGAACCCAGACCCAGACCCCTTGGCCCCCTGAGTCGTGTGGACTGCCTGGCTGTCTACCCAGGTGTATGGGTACGTACTACGTACAGGAAGTCCTGTGGGGAGGAGGTTGCCTGGCAGTCGATTATTGTAGAGGTTGCTTACAGTAGTAGGCACATCTATGAGCCTACTGAATTGTAAGAGGAAAAAAACATTAGCAAACAGCATTGGACAGGCGCATTTTATRCGAATCCGGTAATTATTTATTTATGAGTTGAAGCAGTTTCAATAACTCACTTTGCCTTAGCTACGACCAACCAGAGCGAGCCTTCTCCTGACTGCCTTGAACATACGTCAAATGTCGAGCCGAGTCTATATATATATAAATATGTATGTGTGTATATGCGCGTGTGCTCCGAGTACTCAGCGTCATCATCATGACAGGAAGTCGTTGTAGGTAGTTAGTTAATGTGCACAGTGGTGCGAAAATTATGAATTTGTTTCAGCTTTTCAGCTGAAAGGTTAATGGGTAATACGTTATGCTTAATGGTCTTTGTTTAATGCTAAAAACCAGTTAAAGCAGAGTGAGAGCGGGAACGTGAGGCAGAGCGAATATGAGAAATGGTCTGTTATTAAGAGGTCAAATAAATCATGATGCACAGTGTCTGTGCGGTCGGCAAACAGGTGAACAAAGCAAGTGCCACAAGGGTGTCAGAGGGCACAAAATATATGCACGGTAAAAACATTTAATTATTACATTACATTTCTTTTTGAAGATGACTATAAATATTATAAATATTTTTGTGTTCGTTAATGTTATGTATGTATGTATGAGCTAATGAAATTGTTGGTGCATTTTGAATTTTACGTTATTTATACAAATATTTTAATTTAATATTAAAATATTTTATCCCAACTTTAATATATTTTATATTGAAAAATTGATGTGTTAATTAATTAATTTATTTATTAGGATTTTTTGTTGGGCTGAAGTGGGTAAAAATGCGTTACGTATTTTATGGTTTTATTTTTCATTTATTTTTTTTTTTTTTAATCTCATTTTAGCTTATTTTTCAAATAATCATATAAATTTTTAAAATAGTTTTCAAGTATAAATGATTAAAATTTTTATATGAGTTACTTATATTAGAGAATGTTATAAAACATATATTTAAAGAATATCACATCATTTACGTATTTATTTTTAGATTGTTTACTAGGATCTTCAGCTTAGACTCATAGCATAACCATTAAATCAATAACAAAATCAACATATTTTATAAATAATTAATTCCCGTATATTTTTCTCGAAATTCTGTTTTTACAATATTTCTATAAATGCAGGAGAGCACATAATAACCAACGGAATATGAAAATATGATAAACCAATAAGTTATATATGTATATTGTAATTGCTTATATTTCATTATATTATATTGTCATTGCTTATCAATCTTATATTCAAAGGTTTCTTAAAGTTTCACCTATAAATTAATAACCTCTATGCAAAATTGCACCACCGTGCAGCAACACCGTTGCTAAGGCACAGTTAGATACAGTTGAGTCTATTTCGAGACTCGCAGGCGGGAGTAAATAGAGAACGGCCTAGAGCAGACGCACATAGATTCTATTCTTGAGGCAGGCAATTTTTGCATAAAACCGGGTTAGGTCGACTCATTTAGGGGTGGAAGTTTGGGGTTGGGGTTGCGACTGGGATTGGGATGCTGCTGCGGAGTCACTTGTCAGTCAGTCACTCAGTCAGCCGGACGATTAGACAGTCAAAAGTAAGCAGCGTTCTGCCAGTTGATTGTTTCGTATTGTAACGGTATGTATAGGTGTATATATGAGTGTGTGTGTGTGTGTGTTTGTGCGTTCAGTTCATGGTAATGTGTCTGTTGCGTCACGTCAGTTATTTATTCAAAGCGACAGGCGGCACAAAACGTCAATGAGCAACGTTTTCTGTATGCGCAAAGGTTGTACAGGCACTGGTACAGGTACTGGTTCAGGTAGCTAACTGGGCTGCTGTGCTGCTGTGCTGGCTGAACAACTGACTAACTGAAACAAAGGTAGACAGCGACAACAACAATTGGTAAAAGCTGCGCTAAACTTTTACAAGGAGTTGCCATAGCAACAATAAGCCCTGAGACAAGAAACGAACGCGCCTCTGACATGACAAGGGACAGATGGATGGATGGAAGGACAGAAGGCTGGATGGATGGATGGCTGGTTGACTGACTGACTGGCTCGAGTTGACTGGGGGTTTAGGGATTGAAGCTAAAGTTGGACTTGAATTGATG